GGCAGCAGGTGTCCCTCAAGAATTTCTCATCCCCCCCGGTGGTCCTGGCGTCAGAAGCCCTAGGGACACCTCAGGTCGGAGGAGGAAAAGGCACCGATCCAGCCCCATCCCCATCCCTCAGAGAAAAAGTCGAAGAAGAAAAATCCCCCAGAAGAGGAAAAGTCCCCTGGCGCGCTCCGCGCTCCATGGAGGGGGGCCCAGCGCAGATCCAAGAAATCCGCGCGGGGCGCCAAACATTTATGTTTATGGGCCTCGTTTTCCCTTTTGGGGGCCTCCAGGGACGTGCCGTAATGGGTGGGTGAGACGCATGCGGGCGGTGCCACTGGGGCCTTCGGTAGGGCTCCCTATGGTTCACGAAACGCCGTCCTGGGTGTGGCTGACGCATGCGGGCGGTGCCCCTCGCTGGAGCTCCCGATGAGGCCACGAAACGCTGTATTGGATGGGGGAAACGCAGGGTGGTGGCCGACGCATGCGGGCGGTGCCACTGGGACCTTCGGTGGAGCTCCTTATGGGGCCATGGGAGGGGGGGGACGCATGCGGGCGTTGCCACTGGGGCCTTCGGTGGCCACTGGAGCTCCCTACGGGGCAACGAAACGCTGGCGGGCGGTGCCTCTGGGGCTTGGTGCTCCCAATCAATGGGGCCGCGAAATGTAGTACTGGGGGGTGGACGACGCATGCGGGCGGTGCCACTGGGGTCTTTATGTGGAGCCCCCTACGGGGCCACGAAACGCTGTACTTGGTGTGGCGGACGCACGTGGCCACCCCCACTGGGGCCTTGGGTGGAGCTCCCTATGGGGCCACGAAGCGCTGTACTGGGTGTGGCGGACGCATGTGGCCACCCCCATTGGGGCCTTGGGTGGAGCTCCCGACGGGGACACAAAACGCTGAACTGGGTGTGACGGACGCATGTGGCCACCCCCACTGGGGCCTTACGTGGAGCTCCCAACGGGGCCACGGAACGCTGAACCGGGTGTGGCGGACGCATGTGGCCACCCCCACTGGGGCCTTACATGGAGCTCCCAACGGGGCCACGGAACGCTGAACCGGGTGTGGCGGACGCATGTGGCCACCCCCACTGGGGCCTTGGGTGGAGCTCCCGATGGGGCCACGAAGCGCTGTACTGGGTGTGGCGGGCGCATGTGGCCACCCCACTGGGGCCTGGGTGGAGCTCCCAATAGGGTCACGAAACGCGGAACTGGGTGTGGCGGACGCATGTGGTTACCCCCACTGGAGCCTTGCGTGGAACTCCGCATGGGGCCACGAAGCGCTGTACTGGGTAGTGGACGACGCATGCGGGCGGTGCCACTGGGGTCTTTATGTGGAGCTCTTTGGGGCCACGAAACGCTGAACTGGGTGTGGCGGACGCATGTGGCCACCCCCACTGGGGCCTTGGGTGGAGCTCCCGATGGGGCCACGAAGCGCTGTACTGGGTGTGGCGGGCGCATGTGGCCACCCCACTGGGGCCTTGCGTGGAGCTCCCTATGGGGCCACGAAGCGCTGTGCTGGGTGGGTGAAACGCATGGAGGGGGGAGGGGGAGGGGGAGGAGGGAAGAGGGGGAGGAGAGGAGAGGAGAGGAGAGGAGAGGAGAGGAGAGGAGAGGAGAGGAGAGGAGAGGAGAGGAGAGGAGGGACGCGGGGACCGTCTCGTCAAAGCGAAGACCCAACACCACAGGATGGTTGGGAATGACAAATCCAAGGATTCCCCATCTTTTTCCATATGTACGCGGTCTTCGTCTTCCCCGCCACCTCCCACATGTTCCCAGACTGTCTCCCGACTCCTCCCCTCCCCCCTCCCTGAACATGTTCTGAGGGTGGAAGGCTCGCAAAATCAATCCGTCTTGTGATTCACCCTTTGCAGATTCAAGCATCGAACATCAATCGAAACGGCATTTCAGATTTCACCCTTTGCCCTCCACCCAAAGAAAATGCTCGGCCTCCCCCCTCCCCTCCCCCATTCCAAGTGTGAGGCTCCAGCATTGAACGTGCGAATGTCGGTGGTGAGGCGTGGCTGCAATGCTGACGCATCGCCACCATGGACAACGCCGGACGATGTCCCAGCGTACCGCCTCTGGACACATTGCGACGGTTCAAGACCCGACCGGTCGCCGCAAGCACTAGGAAGTCTCACCCGATCAATGCCCAAATGATCGGGCAACATCGGGGGGAACAAAAGGGGGGGATAGCAAAGGGTAGGGTAGAGACTCAACTCACTTAGCTGATTTTCCTAACACCTCCTGGCGCCGGGAGGCGCCCATGTATTGAGGAATGGGCCCAGGCGGCGTGGCCGAAACCAGCTGCATGCAGCAGATTTCGTAACCCCCTCTTTCCCTATCCCCCTTTTTCGTTCGGCCCGACAACAGAAGATCAACACGGGTGTGCTCGTTGGCTGGAGCGCGTGCGTGCGTGAGTGCATGCGCGTAAAAAAACACTGCGAGCATGATTCTCCGATCCAGAGAGCAGGGGGGCCAGACGCGGTAGGATTTCTGCATCACTCTGCCGCGGTTCCTCCGACTTGGTCGCGAGGCAAGTACTTTAGAACATGTAAATACGGCCGAGTGTGGGCCTCGTCTGGAGGCAACGAATTCTACGATGCTGCACACGGTTCGCATGCCCGCACCCCTACGCTGGCGCCGAGCCGCCGACAACGTAGCTCGAGATGTAGACCTGCTTGGGCACAATCTCCGAGCACTGCTCCTGGTACTTCATGAGCTCCATCTGGGATGGTTTTGTTTCCGCACGGCCGGCTGCAGGGGCATGTAAACAAAAGGGTGATCCGAGCGCGGCGGCGCAGTTGGCACCCCTTCCACCTGCCTCAATGCTACAGTCGGGGCGTTGACCTAAGGAACCCTAAATGAGGAACGGGGCCCCCTTTCTCCCGTAAGTTGAACTTCGATTTCCCATGGAAAACCTCAGGAAAGCAGAAGGCAAACTGTAGAACCATCAAGGAACACCGAGCCCCTCCCCAACGAAAAGGGTTCCTTCTTCAGGGCCCCAGCTGTAGTCCTGCTGGTCGGAGCCCCTTGTCTGACCTAGAAGGCAGTTTCTCGCTTATAGAGCGGTTGGAATCGAAACTGCGACGATCTGGCACTCCCCACAGCGGAAAACACCCGCTTCGACACCGTCTGGCGCGCCTTCACGCCAGGTCCGCGCTGCTGGCATTCGCTAATGCCAGCGCCCCTTCAACATACCCTTGAGGTTGTGGTCCGTTCCGCCATGCTGCCCGGGGCCCACTGGCAACCTACAAACGGCTTTCCCGCGGAGCCTACCTGAGAAACCGTGTTTCGGGGGGGAAGCCCAACTTTGCTGCATCTTTAATGATTGAAATGCTTTGTACACCTCATCGGTACCCTCAGGGTGCCACCATCGACCTCGAACGGACACCTCGCACCTGGGACGCCCCAATCGGAAAATGCGCATCGCCTACGACAAGCGCATCTATGCACGACTCCGCTGGCAAGCAGCCGTGGGTAATTCAAGCAACCGCACACAACAACACATGCCTCTATCAGCCACCGTGCCTGAAGGGGCCCTGGGACACACAAATAAATACACACAAATAAAACAGATTCCCAACATTTTCCCGTATTTTCTGGGTTTCTGTCGTCCCCCCACTTCCGATATTTTCCTATATTTTCTGGGGAATCGACAGTTAATTGTGTCTGTGTGTGTTTTTCCCCTCCTGAGTGCCGTTAGGTGCTGAGTGGAAAGTCCTCAGGTCCCCTTGGGCTCAGTGCTTATATTCCAAATGCTCTCGGAAGGCCCCAGAGTCCCAGCTTCACGGCACACTTGGGCGTTCCTCTCGCCATCGCTCGGACGTCCATTTCCCGTGCATTGTTCGGTTTCGTGCGTGTTTTTTTTGCTCGATGGTCCAGGATCGTCCTCAATGGTTCTCGCCGAGAAAAAATGCACACGTCCGAGCGATGCCAGGTCCTGGACCTCCCTGCGCGACACTCTCCCGAAGCCTCTGATTGGGAATCCACGCTGCCCACGTGCCCTGAGACGGCCACAGACGACCGTCACGTGCCTCTCTTGGGGGCCTCTTTGAGGGCTTGGGCGCCGGCCCAAGAGGCCACAGCTGCTGACACGCCTTAGCCTGTTGTATGACTGTTTGCTCGTACTCGCCGTCCCGTTCTCAAGAGCCTCCGACACGGCCGAGAGGCCCTGAATGGAGCCCCCAGAGGGCCCCAACGAGGGGAGGGAGCAACCGGAGGCGGATGAAGGGCATGGGGCGAGCAAGACGAGGCAAAAGGCAGCGGAAGAGGAAGAGGGAGTCGAGGATGACCAGGAGAAGGCGAAGTCGAGGAGGAGGAGGAGGAGGAGGCCAAGGAGCCACACGGAGGAGGAGGAGGCACGAAGCAGCGCTGATGTGAGGGGCGGCCCAGCAAGCGCGCCTGCTTCAGCTCGCTAGGCCGCATCAGGTGCCTCTTGTCTTCGTTGTCGTCCAGCCTGCGCACCCCCACTCCATCGGGTATGTTGCACTAGGGGCCCTGGTAACCGGGGCCAATCAAAAGGACGAAATCTCACAGAACAACCAATACAAACAAGTGTCCGGGCCTAATTGAGACCGTGTGAGCGAGGCCGTAGCCTCCAGATAGTAGCGAATAGTGTATGCTTAGACATGCATGCAAGACGCATACATGACACACATGTGAAACAACAGAGGAGGGAGAGGAGGGGCAATCTGAGTAGTGGATGTCGCCGTGTGCTGGGGATGCCGTGCCGAGAGGCGAGGGGGAGGGGCGATTGAAGGGGAAGGGGGATGTGAAAAGGGCGACGCTGAAGAGGAGAGAGAGGGGAAGAAGACGCTTACCCCTCTCGCCTGAACGCCTGAGACAGCACAACACCGCCCCCTGCCCCCCCGCCCCCCCCCTTCGCGTCTCGGGCAGGGCGAAAGGGGGGGATAGCAAAGAGGGGGGGAGAATCAGCTCACGTAGCTGATTTTCCCGGCGCCTCCCGGCGCCGGGAGGCGCCCATGTATATCGAGGAACGGGCCCCTCGGTGGGGCCGAAACCAGCTGCATGCAGCAGATTTCGTAACCCCCCCTTTCCCACCCCCCCCCCCTTTCGCCCGGCCCGATTAGCGTCGTGAACAACATCGAGGCGGCCGAAGGTTTCACACTCCCGGCCAGGCCCCACCCTCGGGCCCCGCCTTCGGGGCAATGCAAAAGCCCGACCCCCACGGGCGCAGAGCCGCTCCTATAGGGACAGAGCCCAGGGCCGCCTCGTGGGCCCGTGCCGTGAAGAGGGGCGTCGCGAGTCTGTGAAGGGGCCCAGGGGCACACAAATGAATGCACACACAAATAGCAGGACTCCCCATGTTTTCCTATATCTTCTGGGTTTTCGTCTTCCCTCCCACTGCCCACATTTTCCCATGCTTTCCTGGGAATCGGCGATTCATCGTGCCTTTCCTATATCTTCTGGGTTTTCGTCTTCCCTCCCACTGCCCATATTCTCCCATTGCCTTCCTGGGGATCGGCGATTCATCGTGTCTGCGTGTTTCTGTTTTCCCTCCCGAGCCTGCGCCGCCCCCGCGAGCGTAGCCGCGGGGAGCCGTGGCCCTCCTCCTCGCCCGACGACTCCCCTCTGGACCTCTCCGAGAGGGGGCGCTGTCCTCGGGGAGAGCTCCGGCGAGGGAGCCCTGCCGTGGCGACGAGGCGCCGCGGGACGTCTCGGACCCTTGGGCTCCCAGGGGTGAGGAGGAGGAGGAGGAGGAGGAGGAGGAAGAGGAGGAGAATGAGGAGGAGGAGGAGGAGGAGGAGGAGGAGGAGGAGGAGGAGGAGCAGAGTGAGGAGATGGAGGCGGGAGGAGGGAAGAGGGAGGAGAGAGGAGGCGACGCAGGACGTCTTGGACCGTTAACACCACAGGCATGACGAGGCAGCAGGTCAGGCCGGGGTTCCCGGCGGGGAGGACGGCGCTGGCGGTTCGCCTGCCCCCACCCCTTTTCCCCTGCTCCTCCCCCCCCTCCACCCCGCCCCTCCGCCTCCTCGCCGCTTTGCACTCCTCCTCCCCCTCCACCTCCTCCTCCTCCTCCTCCTCCTCCTCCTCTACACCCTCCTTCTCGCCGTTCTGCACTCCTCCCCTCCGCCTCGCCTCCTCCACCCCGCCCCTCCAGTCCCCGGCCCAGCCGTGCCCGCCTGCCCCAGCTCACCCCCTCCGCGATGCCCTTCCCCCCGGGTCCGTCGGGGATCTCCGAGAGCCGGCGGTTCTGGAGGAGGCATGTATCGGGCGCCGCGGCCGCTCTGGGAGAGCTCCCGGAATGCTGAGAGGAGCGTCCTGGGACGCGCTGGAGCGGCTCGTCCCTGTCCCAGCCCCGCCCGGACGTGGTACGAGAACGATGCCATGGTACAGTCGGACCTCATTGGACAGGACACGCGAGCGGACACAAGACCTCTCCGAGGGCCACATCGCCATAGGAGTGTAGGAAGGCACGTGTCGCGAGGCACAGGACACAAGGGTACCCTTGATCTGGCAGGGTCGACCTACTTATCCGGGCCGGCTGTAGGATTGGCTCAGGATGCGTCCAAAGAATTCCCGAAGATGTAGCGGCCCTGGTTCTGCAGCCCGTGTTGGATCTCAGGAAAACTTGGGAATCCTAGCAAATCTGAGAATCCTGTGACCACGACCTCGTGCAGACCTCACAAACGAAAGACACATAATTATGCGTAAACAGAACGTTCGGGATTCGCACAAAATTTTCGGCTCTGCGCTGGATTCCCCTCACAGGCGCGCGGAGCGCGCCAGGGGCGGCGCCGGAGGCGGAGACCTGGTCGACGCTGCCCTCGCGGGGGGCAGACTTCCCCGCCATCTCAAGATGCGACTTCAATTTGTCGCGAGAGCTGATCGCGTAGCGCAGGCCGCTCTTAGTGGAGTTTCCTCTGGATGCGCGGCTCTGGGATCTCTGACGGTCACTGCCTCCGTTCGCTTTGCTTCATCCGTGGTCTGGGTTCCTTGGCGATCCCTGTCATTTCCCTCTCCCTTACACTCCGGCTCCTCCTTCATCTGGCCCTTTCCCGTCGCCGCCGTCTTTGCCGCCTGGGGCTGCGTCGGTCGAGGCCGGCGCGGCCTGGACCGGAGCGCCGTTCTTGGGGCGCGTGCAAAGACATGTCGCGCGCGCGAGGACAGGCCCCTTCCGCGCACTCGATGCACGCCGCCGGCTTCTCGAGGCGGCCGTCCTGCTCGTAGAAGAAATCCTTGCCTCTGCTGTTTCCGACCCCACCGCCGCCCCCACCGCCGCCGCCACCATTGCCGCCCGCGCCTCCCACAAGGGGGCCACGGGCGTTGAGGTGTCTTCGCTGCGCGGTGCGGTCGCGGCAGCCGCGGTCCGTCTGCGCGCGCCTACTAATCTGGCCCAGCCACCACTTGTATGAGTTCACCCCTTTTGGATTCTCGTCGTTGCCGCGATCGCACATGGTGAGTCCTGGACATGCCCGGGTACATTAAAATCTGTTCGAACAGATGTTACTGGATGGATCGGCGGAATGACTTGTCAGGCTTATCCGCCTCGCTCATGATCTTCATCCACTCGTCGTAAAGCGATGGAGATCGGCGTCCGCCCCCCCTGCCCGCGCCGCGAATCTCGGCCCCCATCACGTCCTGAAATGTGATCGCCTGACCACGGTCCTCACGGGTGGCCACATGCACAGCAATGGTTCGTAAGAGTGCAGGACCCTTCAACATCTGTTTCATTCTGAGCACGGCGGCGCCCAGGCGGTCGATCTCGCCAGCCGCATGACGAGGTGGAAATGGCAACTTGGGGCCCTGCGCGATCCGAATGAAATATGGCGCGATGATGGAATCGAGCCAGCTAAAGGTTCCAGAGTCCTGTAACGTCTTGGCCTTGACCGTCTGACCGTTGAACGCCCCCATGATGCACTCTGCGGCCTGCTCCCAATCTTCGTTGGGGGGCGCGGCGCGACGTGGCGGACCGCTGCGCTACCCCACTTCCAATAGACAGCTGCGTCGGAAATGGGTTTTACGCTCGCCTTCTCGGCATTGCCGGCATCGTTCCGGTTGGCCCCAATGCCCGGCGCCGCGTCGGAGAGAGCGCCGCCCCCGTCTCCGCTGCGAGGCGGACCGCCGGGCGGCCCCGTGCATCGGCCGCGCCGACGGTCTCCCTCATCGCTAGCCTCCTCATCTTGGTCGTCGTCGTCATTGTCTGGCGGGCCAAAATCACGGTGCTGCGTGGCCAGTGCTGCTGTGGCTCGCTCGGGCTCGCCCAGCCCCTCCCCTCGGGAGGCGCAGCCTCCGCCGCAGCCGGTATTTCGGGGCCGGGCGGAGCGTTGCCAGGCGCAGACTTGGCAGTTTCTGCCTGGGCTCGCTCCGCTTTCATCTCACTATGAGCGGCGCCCTGCCTCTTCCAGGCTTTCCTCTTCTTCCTGAGCCCGCTTCTCGTCGGCGGCAGCGGCTTCCGCGCGCCCCTCAGCGCGCGGCCCCCATCCACGTTCCGCATCGCTCCCGCGACCATCTCCGAGAGCCTCTGGCGCCTGGCCCCGGCAAAGTCCTCGAACGCCCCCAGGCGCCTGGAGATGTCGTCTTCTGCGTTCTGCCCGTCCGCTCGCTCCAGGGCGCTCGCGACGCAGTCGCGAGACGCCCTGGATAGCGGCGGGCAGTCAAGGGGCCCCGCCGCAGGCGCGGACTGAGGGGCGATCCGTTCCTGGAAATCCCCTGTCGCTTGACGACCCCCTTCCTCCTCTCTCTCGTGCGCTCTCTCAGTTCCCCGGCCCCCCCCCGCCAAATCGTCGACGCTAGGCGCGCATTTCTCCTCGATCGTATTGTAGTCGGCGCCGCGGAAAGATCGGGCGCGCCGCGCGCAGTCGTGGCCCGCCACCCCGTTGTGCCAGAAACACCAGAACCCACCCAGGCGCGGCGCAATCGCGGCAGGCCCAGGCGCCGCGCCCGCCCCTGCAGTCATCCGGGAAGCTCGCTTCTCCAACTGCTGGCGCCCGCGAAGTTCAGCCCGCTGACGGCGCGATTGCTCGCGATGTGCCTCTCAATTCCCTGCGGGCCGTGATGCTCTGATCTCGGCATTTCGAGCCGTGATATTCACCTCGTCATTCGTCTGCTGCTCGATCCGCTGAGTCCTGCCAGTGCTTCGCGAACATCGGCGGCAGCGCGAACGCAGCTCGCGCGTGCCGCTCGGGCAATGGCTTGTGCCTGTTGGCAAGTGTCGCTGACCTCGCCCTGCGCCTGCCCCATCGCCTCTGCGTTCTCGGACAATTCCTTCTTCCTTCTTCGCAACAGCCTCGGCGCTCAGTCGATGTGCCTAAGCCCGTCGAACCGCCGCCATTGCCTCCACCTCGAGGAGAGATTTGCGCGCCCCAGCCGCCATGGGCTCTTCAGCGACCCTGACCATCGTCACCTGCTGGGACTCTCCGGCCCCCCGGACGAGGCGCTTGGCCTCATGTGCGACATACTGCTCTTCGCGGCTTGAGCACGCTTTTCGGCGGCTGCCGAGGCCCCGACCCTGCTGGCCAGCTCGCGGAGCTCTGCCGGCGATCGACTCGACTGCTCTAATGCAACGGCCTGCTACATATCCTCGGCCTGCTCCATGGCGCCGTCGATGGGCTTCGAAGATCATGATTTGGCGTCTGATTTGCGTCCTTTCTTCGGCCATTGCATCCCGCCTTCTCTCCTCGGCCTGCTGCCATTCGAGGCAGCGCAGCGCCGCGCAGTAATGCGCGAAGGGGGAAGATAATCTGGGCAGAGGAAGATTAAGTTGCAGAAGTGGCAGCTGACCGAACATTCACGACAGACTGCACCCTTGCACTGTCCCCCATTTCCCAGGCAGCAGCGTTCAGGGAGTGCCGCGCGCCCGTGGCCTCTGTTGGCACGCGACTCATTGATGCGACAAATCGATGCGTTGGAACGCGCCGTGCGAGCCGAGGACGACGATGCGCCAGACGGGACCCTCGACGTCCCACGTCGGTTGGGCCCCGTGCCCCTGGCCCGCGGAGAGCGAGCGCGAGGTACGGGGGCCCTCGTCGCACTGAGGTTCTGGCGCCCAGCACCCAAAGTCCTCTGACTGACCGGTGGTGGAGGTGACCCAGAGCACAGCCCCCGGGCCCCCCCCCAGGTTCGAGCACCAGGTTCGCCTCTGAAATTCCCTCCGTCTTGGTCCGCTACACGAGCGGGGATCTGACCGACAGGCTAATGGCCCCCCGTGGCTGCTTCGCTGCGAGTGCTCTCGGCGCGTTTTTTTTGCGTTGTGCCGAGCGGCCGCAGGCATGCCGGCCGTCGTCTCTACCATTTCACCTTGCAGAACTTTCCACGAGGCTTCGGCGACACAGCCGTCGAAAGGCACTGACGTCGGCGACGGTTCCTGAGCCGATATCGGGGACGACCCGAGGGCGCAGACCTCGGCATCACCCCTGGCCGAGACTCAGAGAATGTGTTCTGGCCCAGTCGGATATTCGACTCGACTCATCCCGCTTCTTCCGACGAGACGGAACGCCGGGCGGCAATTGCTGCCTGTCCAAATTGCACGATCCATACACGCCGCTCGGAAGAAGTGGGTTGAAACATGAAGTAGGAAGGCGTTGGAAGTAGCTTGGGCTTCCACCCGCCCCCCGAAGAGGAGGAAAGAAGGAAAACCGCTCGACTCTTGAAGTAGGCAGGCGCCTAAGAAGTATATTCGGATTTGGGAATCCAAAAAAATACCTACTTTCAACGGCCAGCTTGTACCAGTCGGCGTCTGCCTCCGCCTTGTCAGGGTTTTTCTTGGCTTTTGTCTCCCCCCCAATCCCCATATGCTCCCATGTTTCTTAGGAATCGACGATGACTTGTGCCTGTGTGTAATGCGGGATGACGATTGACACAAAATGGGAGAGAACGATTACAAAAAATAGCTTTCTGCTATTTCTGCATAGTTGTCTGCCAGGAGGAGCACGATTTTTAAAAAGATAGTTTCCCAGCCCGCGGCCCGTTTTTTCCAATCGCCATCCCGGGCGCCGCCGCCTGAACACGACCCCCGGCCATTTATTGATCGTCATCCTCCATTACTTTCCTCTCCCGAGGAACGCCGACGGCATTGGCTGCCTGCCCAACTTGCACGCTCCACACCCGTCGGCGCCTTGCCTGCGCCTTGCCTGCGCCCGCGCGCAGCGTGCCACGGCGGCGGGGGCCCCCTTGTTCTGCCGGCGCGCGCCTCCGGGCGGCAGCGAGCAGCTCGGGGGCTGCACGCTGCGCAGAGCGCGAGCCAGAGCCCAGGACGCAGCCAGGGGGCGCGAGCTCGAACGACATGTTGGCTTCACTCTGAGCCGCGGACTTGGTCGCGATTTCTTGATGCACCCACCTCCGAGAAGGAAAACAGCTTCGCCATGTCGTGGTGAATCGTTCGGCGGTCAACCAGCATTTTACCGATTCAGGACGGATTCGGGCATTCTCTTGATCCTGTTGATCGGCTCTTGGTCCGACTGTTACTGTACATGACTTTTTAATTGTGGTCCGATGTTGAGTCTCGGAAAGGATGTCCTTGACGCCATGGCTAGGATGTCCGTCAAGCGGGCGTGCTGGTGTAAATGAGTGCGCGCCCGACCTGAGGGAGGGCGCGCGCGCGAGAGCGGACGGTTACACCGAGCGCCATAAAAGCTGCGAGTTGCGAATGGTAGCGCAATGCCGATGTTGATACGGTGACGCTGCCAACCCTCCCTTGGAGGGTACAGGCGGCGCAACAAAAAGGTAGTGAAGGGAGCGTTGGTAATGACTATATGTATGTATAAATGTATATATCTATACATACATGCATACATGCATGCCTACATACACCTACATACACCGACATACATGCATGCATGCATGCATGCATGCTTGCATGAATGCATGCATACAACATACATGCATGCATGCATCCATCCATGCATACATACGCGCATGCATGCATGCACACATACATACAGCTATACATGCACACATACATACATACATACATGAATACATGCCTACTTACCTACATACAGACATACATTCATGCACGTGCACATACATGCATACATACACACATACATACATACATACATACATACATACTGACATGCATACACACCTACACAGAGATACATACACACATATACATACATACATACGTACGTACAAACACACATACATACTTCACAAACGTTACATTCACACATACACACATACATACATCCATATATTCATACATACATTCGTGCATGCATACATACTTACATGCATACATGCATGCATACATACATGCATATATAGACATGCATCTATATACACATGCACACATACATACCTACATCCATACATATATACATGCGTACATACGTATGTATGTATGTACATGCATGCATACATAAACATATACACACCTATATGGACTGTGTTTCGGCCGCCATGTGCCAGTAGGTGGTGGACAAGCATAATATCCGAACCGCCACCGTGCCCTCAGCACGCAGAAGGAATGCTCAATGACTCGTGAAGCCCTGAGACACAAGAACCCCAAGGTATCAAAAGCCCGGGCCACGGGTGTCACAAGGCTTCCCGGGGATTCCCGGGGTGTGTCGCGCGCGCCCCCGGGCCCCAAGACTGTCCAAGAGGAGCCCAGGTTGCCACACGATCGGTCCAAGACGCCCACGATGGTCGCCAGTCGGCCAGCTAAGCGCCCAAGACGTTCCACGAGGCCGTCAAGAGCCGTCTCAAAAGAGGGCCCCTGTAGGCCAAAATCAATGTGTTCCCGTCGTTGGTGTTTCAGTGTTCTTGGGGCCCTCGATTTTTCGAGCTTCCAATGCTCCATGACGGCCCAAGGGGCCCCCAAGACCGCCCTAAGGCGGCCCCAGCGGCCCCCAAAAGCGCTCATAGACGGCGTAAGAGGGCTCTTAGACGGCCCCAGAGCCGCCCAGGACGGCCCATGAGAGCGCAAAGCCAGCCCCAAGAAGGGCCCCAAAGGGGGAACACTAACGGGTAATCCGAGCCCTTCGCCACTAGAAGCCCCCAGGAGGCCCCAGGGAGGCGGCAAGAGGCCCCCAAGAGGCCCGCACAGACCCTCAAGACGCCTCAGGGACCCCCCAAAACGGCTCGGGGCCTCCGAAAGGCCCCCAAGAGGCCTCCCGCGACATCCCAGCGCACGTCCTAGAGGCCGTTGGCTGACCCACAGCCCAGGCACGGTGGCGGCATGGGCCGAACGCCATGGCTTGCCATCGCTCGGACGTCTGTTCCCCGTGCATCGGTCGGTTTCGCGCGAGCTATGCTCCGCGAGATGATGCAGCATGCTCCTCGATGGTGCCCGCCGAGCACAACGTGTACACGCCGGAACGATGCCGAGATGAGATACTGGATATGTTCCTGGCCCCGATCGCCCTCCTCTGAGCTCAGAGGCCTCCTGGATGGGGTCCGAGTAGATGGGGGCGGAGGATCGCGCCGCATCGCCGATGCACCGGCGTTGCATCGGCGATACATCGGCGACGTCGACGATGCATCGGCCACGTCGGCGTGGTGAAAATTGGGCCCCACATCGAGCCGCATCGCCGATGCATCGCCGACGCATGCGGCGCGACCTTCCGACCCTATCTACCCCGACCCCATCTGGGAGGCCCAGGTCGGGGAGACATAAGCCTCGGGTGCGGGGGACTCGGGTCGGCCTGACGGGGCCGTCGTGAGAACGACGAGACTCCATCTGACATTTGACGCGGACTCCCGCTGCAAACATCCCACGAAAACTGGACCGCAAAATCCATGACGCGCTTACTCGAGTCTTACGTTTTCCCGACCAGGGAGCTGCCCCCCGCCGCCTCGCGACGGCGTCCACCATGTTGAGGTTCAACGCCGGCAACTTCGCGACGGCGTCAGGCTCTTCCGGGGACACGCGCGGGCCCTGCGCAGCCCGTGGGGTGGGGGACTCCCGGGCGAAAAGCGGCAAGCGGTGCGGAGGAGGAGGAGGAGGAGGAGGAGGAGGAGGAGGAGGAGGAGGAGGAGGAGGAGGAGGAGAGGAGGAGGAGGTAGGAGGAGGAGGAGGAGGATGAGGAGGAGGATGAGGAGGAGGAGGAGGAGGAGCGGAGGAGGAGGAGGAGGAGGAGGAGGAGGAGGAGGGAGGAGGAGGAGGTGGAGGAGGAGGAGGAGGAGGAGGAGGAGGAGGAGGAGGAGGAGGAGGAGGTGGAGAGGGAGGAGGAGGAGGAGGAGGAGGAGGAGGGAGGAGGAGAGGAGGAGGAGGAGGAGGAGGAGGAGGAGGAGAGGAGGAGGAGGAGGAGAGGAAGGAGGAGGAGGAGGAGGAGGAGGAGAGAAGAGGGGAATAGGAGGAGGTAGGAGGAGGAGGAGGAAAAGATGAAGGAGGAGGAGGAGGAGGAGGAGGAGGAGGAGGAGGATGGGGAGGAGGAGAGAAGGAGGAGGAGGAGGAGGAGAGAAGGAGGAGGAGGAGGAGGAGGAGGAGGAGGAGGAGCGAGAGGGACCTCTCACCGCCATGCCTCGTCCTCCCGCTGGAAGCTTCCTCGCCCTCCTCGGCCTCGCCTCCACGCCCTCCGCGGCCTCGCTTCCTCGCTGTCCTCGGCCTCGCCTCCTCGCCCTTGCCTCACGAGCCCGCGTCCTCCGACCCCGCCCTGCCCTGCACTGCTCGTCTTGGGTCGGGCATGTCCTCCTACAGGGGGATGTTGGACGAACAGATTGAAGCAGACAACATACACATGAAAGCATGGTCACACCATAAGTCGAAGAATCGGCCCCCGTATCAAACCATGTCAAAACATCAGTCAAGCCGTATGTCTGAACTAGTTTTGAACACATACGCTTGTAGAGGGACATGCCCGACTTAATGCTCGTCCTCCGCCTGCCCCTCGGCCTCATCCGTCGTGGCTCCTCGTCGTCCTCCGAGCCCTGCTGCGGCACTCGGCCAGAGCCGCAGCAGGGCGCGCCAGGTTCGCAGAGGCTCGCGTTCTCGGGCCAGGCTCAAGTCGGGATTAGGTCGGGTAGTCAACATTCCCCTGAAAACTACGCCAGAGAAAATCGGACCTGGTTCGGCACGCAGTCACGCGACTCAAGTCACACGCGGAGGTTAGCAGTGCATGCGGCGAGGAACACACGGGCGGAGAGCAAAGGAGCAGGAGGAGGGATACTTTGAGGAACGATTCATAGCTCCAGCGCAGCGCGCGGACAGCAAGATCCCTCAGGGGCTACGAAACGTGTGAGAGGCCTGCCGAAATGGACCCGAGTAGTTACGCATGCGGGCCCTGCCAGCTTCGGTGGAGCTCCCTAAGGGGCCACGAAACGTGTGAGGGGTCTGCCGAAGTGGACCCGAGTACGCATGCGGGCCCTGCCACTGGGGCCTTCGGTGGAATCCCCTAGGGGGCCACGAAACGTGTGAGGGGTCTGCCGAACTGGACCCGAGTGCGCATGCGGGCCCTGCGACTGGGGCATTCGGTGGAGCTCCCTCAGGGGCCACGAAACGTGTGAGGGGTGTGCCGGAATGGACCCGAGTACGCATGCGAGCCCTGCCATTGGGGCTTTCGGTGGAGCTCCCTAAGGGGCCACGAAACGTGTGAGGCCTGCCGAAATGGACCCGAGTACGCATGCGGGCCCTGCCACTGAGGCCTTCGGTGATGGGGCCACGAAACGTGTGAGGGATGTGCCAAAGTGGACCTGAGTGCTCATGCGAGCCCTGCCAACGGGGCCTTCGGTGGAGCTCCCTAGTGGGCCACGAAACGTGTGATAGATGCGCCTCTCGTAATGGTGGTAGTGATGATGGCGGTGATCATGGTGGTGACGACGATGATGACAGCGATGATGACGCTGATGATGGTGATGATGATGATGCTGATGATGATGGTGATAATGTTGATGATGGTGGTGATGATGATGTTGCTGATGGTGGCAGCGATTGGAAGAGGGAACATAATGATGAGGAGGATGATAACGACGACGAAGGTGTTGTCGAATGAAGATGGAGAGGGGAGGAGGAGAGAAGAGGAGGAGGAGGAGGAGGAGGAGGAGGAGGAGGAGGAGGAGGTGGGGCGCGGCGCCGCGGTTTCAAAAACGAGGACCCAACGCACATTAGGGTTGGGAAATAGTCGAAAGACCGTGCCCAGACTATTGCTTTACCATTTCCGAATCCTCCTCCTCCTCCTCTCCTCCCCTTCCTCATCCTCCTCCCCTCCTCCCCCTCCCCCTCCTCCTCCTCCACCTCCTCCACCTCTTCCTCCTCCTCCTCCTCCTCCTCCTCCTCCTCCTCCTCCTCCTCCCTTCCTCCTGTAGAGGGACATGCCCGACGAAAGGCCAGGCGGGAACCCGCGGGAGGTCGGGGCGGAGGCAGCGGGGCGGTGCGCCCGGGTGGGTCCCCGCTAACCGCACCCTCGCCCGCCCACGCTGGATCCCTGGCCTCCGAAGGCCCCTCCTCCCTCCTCCATCTCCACCACCTCCACCACCTCCCGCCCTCCTCCCTCCTGCTCCCTCGCCTCCTCCTCCTCCTCCTAGCCCTTTCGCCCCTTCCCTCCCCCCCTCCCCCTCCTCCTCCTCCTCCCCCTCCTCCTCCTCCTCCTCCTCCTTCCTCCTCCTCCTCCTCCTCCTCCTCCGTACTCCTCCTCCTCCTCTCCTCCTCCTCTTCCTCTCCGTCTCCTCCTCCTCCTCCTCCTCCTCTCCTCCTCCTCCTCCATCCTTCCTCCTCCTTCTCCTCAATTCTCCCCTCCTCCTCCCTCCTCCCTTCTCCCTGCTCCCTCCTCCCTCCTCCCTCCTCTCTCCTCCCTCCTCCCTCCTCCTCTCCCTCCGTCTCTTTCTCCTCCTGCCCGCCGTCTGAAGCCTACGGCAGCCTGTGTCGGCGGCGGGCTTTGGGATTCCAGATTAGCCTCGCGCGCGGGCCCGCGCAGGGGCACCAGGTCTAGGCACAGGGAACCACAGTCGGCCACACGCGACCAGCGACGGCGACGGCGGCTACATGGCAGCTGCCGCTCGCGCGTCGGCGACTCCGAAAGGTCTGGTTTGCAAAGGGTGTGGTTTGCAACCGGCACCCTGAGGGGCACCCTGGGGGACAGGCGAGGACCTCGACAGAGCTCTCCGCCGCGCCCCAAGGAGGCCCGACGAGGACAGCGTCGTGCCCCCCAGGCCCCGACGGCGCCGATCGCAAACCACACCCCGGCGTAACCATATACCCTTTGTAGTCGCCGAGCGCGTGGCGAGGCTTTCCCCTTCTCACTTCCCCCCTCGGGCGCGCCGCCGACTGTGGCGCCCGGGTGCCCGACTTCGGCCTCGGCTCATGGGCGGATGGCGTCGAGGTGGTCGTCTGCTGCGACCACGGACAGAACTGGGACACCTCCTGCGCACGACCCCCGGGGGTCCGCGAGCGGGAGCTCGCCACGGAGACCTGCGGGCCGGAGGTGCCGGAGCATCACGGCGAGATCGCGCGGCGGAAGCGGCATCGCCATCGGGCTCCCAAACCAAAACCACATGTGCCTAAGGTGGCGGCCAGGCACGGGGCCCAGGAGGGCCCGACGAAGTCCACGAAGCCCAACCCGAAGGCCATCAGGCGCGACTCACCGCTGGACATCCGCCTCTGCAGGGTGCTGGCGAGGAAGCTCTTCGAGGCCAAGGCTCGAATCAGAGATGACCTGGGCAAGGAGAATGCTGCGAGTCGGGTGGAGGAGCTGGCAACGCAGTGAGAGGCGGAGGCCGGGCAGCCCGACCTCAAGACTAAGATCTGGAAGTGCGTGAGGAAGTTCGCGAACGCCGATTCCCGTTCAAGCGCAGGGCGTGCAACCTACCGACGACGGAGCCTGTGCTGGTACGTACAGAAGCGCCTACAGCCCTCGAACGAGCCGGCATTGGCGCCGGCTTCGAAATTGAAATTGGAGGGGAGCCAGAGAGACCAGAGCGATCTGAACAGACCCTGTGGAACGCAAGCATTTGACTCAGCCGCAGTAGTCACGGAGCTGCTGGATGATCGTGATGGTGATGGTGATGATGATGTTGACGATGGTGATGGTGATGGTGATGGTGATGATGATGATGACGAAGATGATGATGATGATGATGATGATGATGATGATGATGATGATGATGATGATGATGATGATGCTGCTGATGATGATGATGGTGCTGATGATGATGATGATGATGACGATGACGATGACGATGATGATGATGATGCTGCTGATGATGATAATGATGCTTATGATAACGATGATGATGATGATGATGATGATGATGATGATGATGATGATGATGATGATGACGCTGGCGTTTATCATGATGAATATGGTGATGACGATGGTGCTGATTGTGGTGACGATGCTGATGATATTGAAACTGATGATGATACGGGTGCTGAGTATGATGTTGATGTTGATGAGAATGATGCTGATGCTGATAGTGATGATGATAATGGTGATGATGACGATAGTGGAGATGCTGATCCTCAAAATGATGATGCTGCTGATGATGATGACGTGGTGATGGTGCTGATGCTGATGCTGATGCTGATGATGACGATGATGATGATGGTGATGATGATGATACTGATGATGATGACGATGATGGTGGTGATGATGATGCTGACAGGTGGATGTCGCCTGCTAAATGTGGTGTCCTCGACGCTGGGCATGCAGAGGGAGAGGCTTGGTGAATCATGTGCTCGGCGGTCTCCCCGGAAACATGGACGACAGGCGCATGAACGGCGGCGTTGGCAGCAAACGGCGCCGTTGGCAGCAAATTCTACGAGAGTGAATTCTGGGGCGTCGGTTTGATGGGCACGGGAAAAAATGTTGGCTCGAAAGACAAGCTCGTGGTCTTCGGCGTGGGCGACACGAGCGGCGACCAGGAGTTCGATGGCTTAGCCGATATTTCACCAGCGAGTTCTACGACCTCCGGGGGGAGCAAGGAGGGCAACGACAGGCAAGA